TACACATCTTGCAACCACGTCTAGTTTAAAACTCAAACATGCATACTAGTTGAATTTTAAACTTTATATGACCCTAGAATTGTATTAGAGATGCAAAGAACACGAGTCTAAGGAATAGAGATAGGATTAGAACTTGTCTTTGAGACTTTTGTTCAAAATCTCTACTTCGTCTTCTAAAGTTCCGGCGATTCTGACTACCAAATTCCTCCTCTGTTCTCTCTCTGCCTCCACAGACGTGAATAGGTTTTATCTTCTTTTTATTTTAAACCCTAAACAGATGTATCCTACATATTTATAGAGTTATACCAAACCCAAAATTAATTCAAGCCCCAAACTGAATCCTAATCGGCCCATAAAAACTTAATTAAAACCTACGTCGGCTATAACCGTGATTTCTTAAAAGAACCCTAAATTAAATCATTAAATGAAAACAAATAAGTAAATTACAATAGTGATTCAAAGAAATATAAAATATGTCAGATAAACAACTTACCAATTTAAATGTAAAATTAAGTCAAATAACCCAACTAATTCACATAAGACAAATAATTCAAATAATTCAAGTAATTCAAATAATTCAAATAAACAATTAAATAATTAAAAATTCAATTAAAACAACAAATTAAATACCAAGACTATCCTTTTGAAATTAGGGGTATTACAACTATGACTTCGAGTTTTGACTTTGGTTTGAATGGAAGGGGCTGGCAGGGATGAACTAGTGGTTTGTTTGGAGGGTTTCTTAGGAGCCATGATTCGTGACTGAAGTCTTTTTCTTTTAGGGTTTCTGTTTGGAGAGGAAGAAAGAAGAAGATAGAAGAAAGGGATTTTGGGTAAGTGATAAGGACAGAAGGTATACTTATATATATAAGAGTAATGAGGAAGGTATTCAAGACTAAGGACATTTTCTAAGGATTGTTAGTTGGGGTTTTCAAAATTCAAAAGGGGAAGTCTTAAGAGTTTTGGAAGCTAAATAATGTACTGCTATAAATAGATAAGAAGTTTATTTGAAGACGAAACGTGTTTGGCGGCAGGAAAGAGTAGCATAGGGAGAATCAAGAGACCAGCCGGATAACACGTGGAAGATTTGATTTGATTATGGTAAGTCTCCGGAGTCCAAGGATGCCTTTTTTGAGAAGGAGTAGCTGGAGGATTTTCGAAATTTAAAAAGGAAATAATGAGGATTGGGAAGTCTGACAGCACTAAGCCATAAATGAATAGGACTCCTTTGGGATATGGAATCAGTGATAGAGAAGAAGCCGAGGGAGCAGCCACGTATTACATAGAAATTTTCCCTTTAATAATTATCTCAAGTTTCTAAGGGCATATTCAGAAGGAGTCTAGATGGAATTTTGAAATTTAAAAGAAGGAAACAGATAAGATTTTTTACGATATGTTTATGGTTGGCGGCAAAAGAGGTTCGTATAGATGGAACTCATAAGCCAGCTATGGAACATTGAAAATTAAGTAGGCCATGATGGTGAGGGTTTAAGTCCCATGCCTTGTCATTAAGTTGTTCCGCAAGGCATGGAATTTGAGGGGCATATGTTTACTCCATTATTTTTGTCCAATGGAAAAATGACAAATGACGAGTTTTAGCGAGCTTAACATATGGGGTTTCTACACTAATTATCCAATAAAGGAAGGCGTGACATGTAATTATTGACATGGGTTACCACTAGAAAAGAAAAATATAACAAGGTCTAATGGAACGTGCCACGCTGGATTGTAATTCTGGTTAATATATTCTTTTAGGACATTGAAACTACGTAATTTCATTAGAAGAGTGATTAGTCGAGAGAAGTTCCACCACGTGGAATTATTGAATTGAAGGAAAATGGTGAGTCCCATTAGGACTTACCAAGTTTGGGATATAGTGTCCTAAAAAGGTGGCATGGAGTTACTATTATGAGTGCAACCCCATGAGAAATTTAAAGTCATAGATTAGCCAACTAATGATTTATTAACACATGGCGGGTCTTATTGAACTTGCCACGGTGGATTAATTCTTTCAAGATTGACCAAGTCAAGAGAGGAGAACGTGGGGCTAGAATTTCTCCTTATTTTTAGGAAATCTCAGCGGCTTGTTCAAACCTAGTCAGTATTTGGTGCTGTAATTCTGCAAAATCGTGGGTTTAATATATTGATAAATATATATATTAAACCCATAATTAAAAAGAAGTCACCTGTGCCCTGAGAGCATAATGATGTGAAAATAGGAAGAAAGGTTTGGTTGAGGAAAGTTACAGAAGAATAAGGGACGTAGGGAATATCTGTATTTATGGATATATATTTATGTATCAAATATGACTCACGAAAGGGAAATCATTGAAAGAAGAGACCACGACGCCATCAAGCAAGAAGGGGAAGTCTGATTAAGGAAGGTTATTAAAATATGGAGATCATGGTCAGCAGACGTGGGGGATGATGTATTCATGGATATATGGATATATATATATATATTTTCCACGATGAAGAAATCGTTGAAAGAAAGGGGCCACGACGTCATGATACAAAGACCAAAATGGAAAGTTCAATTGGAAGGAAGTTACCCAAAGCCAGGAGAAGGTGGTCTGCAAATAACTTCTATATACATGTATGATATATATAGAAATTATACAGAAGAAGGACTTTAAAGAAGGAAGGGATTACATGAGATCGTGGAATAAGATCAGTTGAAAGTGGTAGTGTCTCATGCAACTACTACCACTAACTGAAAATGGTTGATGTGGGTTTTAGATGATGGTTTTAAGGTGATTAAATCGTGTCTAAATTGGAGGAAGAATTCGTGGGAGACGGAAGAAGAACAAGAAGACGTGGGACGCATGTCAAATTGTGAAGAAGACAAGTGGAATTTCATTCCAAAAAACTACCCACGGTGCAAGTTAGTGAAGGACTACTACAAACATGGTTGAGTTGTGCATCAGAAAAAATAAAGAGCAAGGAGACCAAGAGAACATGGGACACTTAGCAGTCCAGAATCAGTCCACGTAGAAGCTGCTGAAGCTGCCACATTAAGTTGATCCATGCAATGAAAAGCTTTATAAATAGAGCACTCAAGGCTAGTTTGTAAACCCTGCCTGCCCAGCATGCAAACACAACATCTTTGCTATTTCATGTACCTTTCATTCCAGCAATGAATTTACATTATGTCTAAACCTAGCACTTTGCTAGTTCATGTACTTTCCATTCCAGCAATGAATTTACATACTTTTAAGTTGAGTCCAACACTTTGCTATTCTATATAGCTTTCATTCCATGCGATGAATTTCCAGTCCTATACTCCTTTTGTTACTTTCAGCCAAGCACTGCACTTCAATTCTCTAATTTCTAAGCACTGCACTTCAATTCTCTAATTTCCAGTCATGCACTTCAGTTATCTTAATTTCCAGTCTTGCACTTTCAATTACTTTAATTTCCAGCTTTGCACCTTCAATACCGTCTTCATTTCCATTAGCCATAGAATAGTTTGAAATCCTTGTTCAAAGGCAAAAAAGACCTTTCGAAGGTGGTCATTCCAGACTTTCGTATAATCGCCTGATCCCTACAACTTTTCAATTGGATAACCATTTGGATTTCTACTTTGGAACTACTGCAGTTCCTGGTACGCCCGCACACCACATTATTCTATTCCACATTTCCACACAATCCGGAAAACAGAACCAGCGCTTTCTCGTGAGCTGAACAGATACATATATAGAAATAGAGATGGAGGTAAAGAGATAGAGATGAAGATGGAGATAAAAAAGAAAGGGAAGGGAATGATAATTTTAATCTCGTGTTTGGTTGATTAATGAATGAAAAGAAAGAGAAGGATAATAATATGTTTGGGAAAAGAAAGGAAAAGAAACGAGAATTATTTTAATAAATTTACTAGTATACCCTTTTATATTTTAAACTATTATTATTATTAGTATTATTTTTTACATGGCCAATGGATGATGGCCACCAAAAAAGAAATAAATATTTTAGGGCAAATTATTTCAGGCTCCCCAACCTCGCCTCCATCTATATTCTCGTTCTCAACTCTGAACTTGCCCCCTCTTTCTCTCTCTCTCTCTGCAACTGTACAAGAATTAGAAGTTCAAAACCTATATATTTCAGTTTATATATCTGTCTACAAGAATCAAAAGTTCAAAACCTATATCGCCATATCATTTTAGATTGTTCAAAATATCAAAATCCATATTTTTTAGTTTCCATCGCCCGTTGTTCTAGTTCGGGTTCGCTCTGTTTGCCGTTCGCAAGCTTCAGCCGCTATCTCTCAACTCTCAAGCTTCCCCCTCCCCCCCTGTATAACTGCTAACTTGTAAGTATGGGTTTTATTTTAATTTTTTTTTCTTTCTAAATCAACTAATCAAGGTCTGTAATTCTTGTTTTGCAAACTAAAATCAAGTGTAATCAAGAGTAAATTTGGCATCAGAAATCACACATCAAACATTTCCTTTCATTTCTTTCCATTTTTGGGAGGATAAAGAAATTACTGTTCAAGCCTATTCATAATCTTTCAAAACCCTTCATTTCCTTCCAACTATTTTTGCAAAACAAAATTTTTTAATCACCCTCCATTACTTTTTTTTTTTTTTTTCATTGCACCAAACTACCTCAGTGATAATGAAAAGGCGAAGGCAATGAAAATTTGGGCCTTCTGCATTTGGGGAGAGAGAAGAGACTGACAGGGGAAGCGGGTACCTGCCAAATGGGCCCATTTTTATTATTGTGGCGTAACAACATGTGGCCACATCACTCCCTTATTTATTTGAGTAGTACTTCCATCATGCGCAAGGAGGACGAACTTCAAACTATTTATTGTCACGTTTGGGCCGAACTATTTTTCAACTGATGATTGGATGGGATAGACTACACTTATTCATAAAAAATTGTGCGGGATATGTTTTTTTGCTCCTTTTTTTTGGACTTACGGAGTATGACTTAACCCATCTTTTTATTACAAGTTAGAATGGATCAGTGGATCGGATCACCCATTAAAAATGGGTTAACCTTTACAGTAACGAACACTCTCTCAATAAGAAACTGAGCAATCCAACCGAAACCCCTGCACTTCTTCTCCAATGCCGCTACTCTCCTCTCTCTTCTTCTCCATTCCTCATTCCTTCATCCCTCAAACTCGAACCCTAACTCTAACCCTATATTTCGTATTCCGTCAAGAACCCTAACCCTAATTTCATCCACAAAAACCCTTCTGAGAAAGCTAAACTCACCACTGAACCTCCGCCGCCTTCAGAAAAGAAGTCTCTTGCAGTGGCCACCGACGATCTCTTCCTTTGGTGATTGCTAATTGGTTTGACAAATGATCGATGGAGGTTGCAGGGATCTTTCTCGGGCCGATCCTTGAGATGCTCGTGGTGTTAAGGGAGGAACTCATCGACTTGTTTACGATTAGGATGATTTTCTCCATGATGTGGTTACTCAAATTTTGTGACTCGGGGCAGAATTTCAAGGTAGCACCACTCCTCCTAGTAAGAAAACTCCTTCCCAACTTGTTTCACACCCTGCACAACTCCTGCTGTTAAGCTTGAAATGAATGTACTTGATATGCTACAACCTCACGGAGACTTGAAAATGTTCACAATTCCTGTGAGGTTATAGCTTGTCAAGTACATCCATTTCAAGGCTTTCATTTCGAAAATAATTGAACTCACTACACCATGCCAACTCTAATTCTTCAAGGTCCTGCATAGCCCTTAAATTCGTCTCATTTGCATCTCGAACATTCCATACATTTTTCAAATCTGTAATATAAATACTTCCCCATAAAAGACTTAGATTTCTCAACTCTTTTAGTCCTGGCCCTTTATTTTTGTAAACAACGAATTCTGACAGTTCTTGAAAATTCAATCTAATGAGCACTTCTCTCATAATTGCACACTACCAATGTCAAGATACTACCAATGTCAAGATAGCGTAGGTTAATTAAATTTCCAATTTTTAATGGCAACATTCAAAGTTCTTCACAGTTGTGCAATGATAGTGTTTGTAAAGTTTAGAGAGTACTCACTGATTCAGTTAACCGTTTGATTGAAGTCCCTGATAAATTAAGATACCTTAGATGTTTCAACTCACCAACCAAGTATGGTAGCTCAGTTATGGCATAACTAGACAGAGACAACACCCTTACACATTGTAACTTTAGAAATAAATCAAGCAAAACTTTTTTTTTTTTTTATAAGTAAATTGTATTAAAAGCGTTCAAAAGGGAATGCGTCCCAAACTATACAAAGACAAAACGGAGCCTATGAACTCAAAGAGCTCATAAAATCAACAATATCCTCAAGAGAGGAGTTGTCTCTCCCCTGACCCCAACAAAACAAATTACAAATGATAGAAAATTTTAACACCCCAATGGAGGATTCCTTTCCCTCAAAAGATCTTCCATTACGCTCTCTCCAAAGGCTCCACCAACTCCCCATTAATCTTGCAATGACAACACACCCCCCCCCCCCCCCCCCCCCCCCCCCCCCCATTGGCCCCATCACATATCTAACAACTCTTGAGTTGACCGAGGCATGACCCAATGAATACCAAACAGGCCAAACATCAAATTCCAACAATCATGAGCCACAAGACAGTGCAACAAAAGATGATCCACCAACTCCCCATTAATCTTGCAATGACAACACCTATTAACAATGACATGCCTTCGCTTCCTCAAATTGTCCAAAGTTAAAATCTTACTCCAAGCTGCAGTCCACACAAAAAAGGCTACCCTAAGAGGCACCTTAGACCTCCACACCGTCTTCCATGGGAATGAGGTACCATGAAAACCAGAAAGGCACACAAAAAAGGACCGGACCTGGAACATCCCCTGAGAAGAAGGCACCCAAATCAAGGAATCTGCCCCAGACCCCTCCACCTCCTGTCCGTAAAGGAGAGCTAAAAACCCAGTGACATCATCCAGCTCCCAATCCTGAAAAGCTCGCCGGAAATGCACATCCCAAGACAACCTTCCGCTATCAAGGCGATAGTAGTCAGCAACCATAGCATGTTTGTCAACAGCAATCCTGAAAATCCTGGGAAACAAAAGGGCCAAAGGCCTATCATCACACCATGGATCCTCCCAAAACCGGAGATTTCTTCCATCCCGAACTCTGAATCTAATATGTTTGGAAAAGGCATCCCACCCCTTACCAATGGCCCTCCACACACCCACTCCGCTAACAGACCTGACTGGTCTGACTGACCACCCTCCTCTCTCCTCCCCAAAGCGACATGAGATAACCCTTCTCCATAATCTGTGTCTTTCCTTACCAAATCTCCAAAGTCACTTACCAAGAAGAGCACAATTGAAAGGGGCCAATATCCTAATTCCAAGCCCTCCCAACCGAATAGGCCTGCAAACCTGTTCCCATTTGACAAGATGATACTTGACCTCTTCTCCGCGACCCCCCTAAAGGAAATTCCGTTGGAGCATTTCTAGTCTTCCAACAATAGAGGCTGGAATACGAAAAAGCGAAAGAAAGTACGTTGGAAGGCTTGACAAAGTGCTATTCACTAACATAACTTTACCGCCCTTTGACAGATATTGTTTTTTCCAACCTGCTAATTGTCTCTCGACCCCCTCAATCACCGGATTCCAACTTCCCACCCTCTTAGCCGAGTCCCCCAGCGGCAAACCCAAGTATGAGATGGGAAAGCGTTGCGTCCAACACCCTAGAACAGCAGCTAGAGTGTCCACCTCCTGAACCTCCCCCATAGGAACAATCACACTCTTTCCCACGTTTACTTTCAAACCAGAAATAGCCTGGAAACAAACCAAAACACATCTCAGATACCTCAACTGGGATACATTAGCCTCACAAAAAACAATAGTGTCATCCGCAAAAAGTAAATGAGAGATCTCCAACTGCTGAACTGATTCAGGGCCAATCTTGAAACCCCTAAGAAAACCCAAATCTACCGCCCTTCTCATCAGCCTGCTAAGGGCCTCCATAACAATAATAAAAAGAAAAGGGGAGAGAGGATCCCCTTGCCTCAACCCACGAGAACTGCCAAAGAACCCTGAAGGAGAGCCATTCACTAACACCGAAAACCTGACAGTGGAAACACAAGAAACAATCTACTTCCTCCATCTCTCACCAAAACCCATCCTCTCCAACAGATAGAACATGAAATTCCAGCAGACATGATCATAGGCTTTCTCAATATCCAGCTTGCACAAAACACCAGGAGTCCCAATACAAAGTCTAAAATCCACACATTCGCTAGCAATAAGAGCGGAATCCAGAATCTGTCTACCCCCAACGAAAGCATTCTGAGACTCAGAGATAACTCCATCTAGGACCTCCCTTAATCTAAAGGCAAGGACTTTCGCAATGATCTTGTAAATGCACCCAATCAGACTAATGGGTCTAAAATCCTTGATATTAGAAGCACCACCCTTTTTAGGAATAAGGGCAATAAAAGATGCATTAAGCGATTTCTCAAATCGCCCCGTGGAATGGAACTCATGAAAAGTGCCCATAATCTCGTACCGGACCACCTCCCAGCTTTCCAACAAAAATCTCATCGTGAAACCATCAGGATCTGGAGCCTTATCACCATTGCAACTCTTTAAAGCCTTCAGCACTTCCTCCTTCGAAAAAGGATTTTCCAGCCCATCTCTCTCCAAGGCAGAAATAGAATTGAAGTGAAGACCATCTAGACGAGGTCTCCAACGAAGAGGCTCAGAATAAAGTCTTTGATAGAAAGAGACAATAGCACTTCGCACCTCCTCCTTCGAAGACAAAATTGCACCATCCACACACATTCGCCCAATATGATTACTCCTCGTATTAGCATTAGCAGTTCTGTGAAAAAACATCGTATTTCGATCCTCCTCTTTGAGCCATAATGCCCGAGATTTCTGACGCCACAAGATTTCCTCCAAAAGAGCAATCTCCACACATTCTGCCTGGCAAGCTGCTCTTCTACTGCGTTGAGATTCCGTAATAGCACCCTCCCCTTCCAATCTATCAATCTCCGCAATATCAGCTAAAGCCCTATTCTTCCTCCACACCAAGCTCCCAAACACCTCCTTATTCCACCTTTTAAGATTTGTTTTCAGGATTCGAAGCTTTCCTGCAAGAATATGGCTCGATGTACCCATCACCAGATTCTCCTCCCATCAAGAATGGACAAATTCCTGGAAGTTATCCGCACGAAGCCACATGTTCTCAAATCTGAAAGGAGTGTTGCGAGATCTCAAACCTCCACAGTCCAAAACCAAGGGAATGTGATCCGACGTCACCCTAGCCAAAGTTGCCTGAACAATATCCGGGAATTTCTCCTCCCATTCACCTGAAATCAAAAATCTATCAATGCGAGAGAAAGTTGGAACTTCCCTTCCACTGGACCAAGTGAAAGAAGCTCCCTCAAGAGAGAGATCAATAAGCTGGTGGCCATCAATAAAATCAGAAAAGTGCATCATAGCCCGAGTCCACGGGCCAACTTTTGAACACACAAAGTTCTTCAAAGTTGCGTGCTAACTGTTTGATTGATAAATTAAGATACGTTAGATGTTTCAAATCACCAACCCAGTCGGGTAGCCCAGTTATGGCATAACTAGACAAAACTTTATGAATAGGCTTGAACTTTTGAAGGACTTCATAGTCTTCATGAATAAATGAAAAGGGCGAAGCTCGTTTAGGAATTTCAAATTGCTTATCTCCTTCCAATTTTTCCAGCCTAAAGCGCACATATCCTCAGCAACATACAGAGCTAGATCATTTAGAAGGTCATGGCATCATTCATCATAAACAAATCACGTGATTGTTGGAAAAATGACCTTGATATTATATCATCAAACCATTCATCATCAAGACCTACCACTATCCATGACAAAACTAGCTCATCAATATCACACAGTAAGCACGCATTTCTTCAACTGAGATGGGAGATGATGATAACTTAATCTAAGAGCTCGAAGAATATGACTTTTTTTTGTTCAAGTAAATCCCATATCTCGCTATTCACTATTTTTACTCACTATTTCCTCACTTATAACTTTGAGATCTGGATGTGCATTAAAGTTTCGGCTCCCGAGTGCATGATTGGCAAATAAAGAAAGACATTCATCTTTCGACCGCTCATTCAGAGGGTAAATCAGAGATAAACTAATGGTTGATGCAACGTTTCCATGGCGAGTTGTGATAATAATTTTTTTCCCATGTGCTCCAAATGTAAAAGGATGTTTTAGGAACTCTCAGAATGCATACTTCTCATTCCATACATCATCCAAAACAAGAAGAAATCTTTTCCCTGACATGCTCTCCTTTATTTCACTTGAAGCATATTTAGAGCCTCAAAATCATGAGTTTTTGAAGTGCCCGCCTCAAGAATTGTATTTGCCACTCTTAATAACATCATAATCATTAGAAACACAGACCCACTCCTTTAGATCAAAACGACCTTCCAAACGTTCGTTATCATAAACCATCAAAGCGAGAGTTGTCTTACCAACACCTCCCATGCCCACAATGGGAATGACATAAACTTTGTCAATATTAGTTTCATCCCTCGGGGCCTCAACAACAATTGAAATATAGCCTCTTTGTCATTTTTCTGCCATAAACTTGAGACTTGTTTTCCAAAGAAGTCGTTTTGTTGGTTGATCCGGAACTATATAGGGTAGCTAATAAAGATGATCTGGAAGCTCTGCTTGTAGGTGTGGGTGGCTATGGCAGCTCTCATCGGTGTTATCCATATTCCATCAGTTGAGAAAACTAGCTGTGTGAGTATCCTTTTTTTCACTTATCAAAAAAAAAAAAAAAAAATGTATTTCTTTTCCTCTACTATACTTTTTTAGGTTTGATTTGAGTTTTTTTATTTTTATTTTTTATTATGTGTTTTATTTAATTATTTATTTTAAAAAATAAAATTTCACTAAATGCGCTCAAAAGGGGAGCGTTCCCAAAAGAAACAAGAGCTATCCACGACGGCACTATAACTTTAAGCAATCCACAAAACCCAAAAAGCGATCCATAGATTTACAATTTTGCCCATTAACCCCAAAAATAAAGAAGACTGTATATTGTATTTGAGAGACCAAATAGGAGACTCCTCTCACTCAAAGGATCCCTATTCCTCTCACACCACAAACCCCACCATAAACGAAGGGGAGTGGCCCTCCAAGCATCTCTGACTCAGCTCTCCACTGTATACATTTTCCAAGATTCTAACATGTCCACCGTGGATTCTTGAAAAACTAAAACTAGACCAAAAGCAACCAAAAACATAGACCAAGCGTTCCTCTCCACCAGGTAATGAAGCAAAAGATGATTCACAGATTCACCCAACTTCTTGCACATGTAGCACATGCAATACCAGTTCACTACAATATGACATCTCCTTCTAAGGTTGTCAAGGGTGAGGTTAATCTCCAGGGTAACAGAGTAAGTGAAAAATGCCACATTCAAGGGAGCTTTCATCCTCCAAATAGCTTTCCAAGGAAAAGTGAGGACAAGAAGATCCATAAGACTTTGATAAAAATTCCTAACCTCAAACACACCTCTCGAGGTACCCACCCACACGATCTTGTACATGCCTACACCATCCACCACCGGGTAATAAATGAAGGCTTGGAAATTGTTGAGTGAAATACAATAGACATGGTTTGGGGTACTTTATTTGAGAAGAAAAGCCTACTCCTTTCTCACTTTAACACCCCTCTGGGTAAACTAATTACAAGTGTCTTAATATAGATATTCTAACAGAAATCTGTAACCTCGGAACATTCCCAATCATGGAACTCTATACGAAACTGCACAATCTAAGTCACCCTCTCATTATCGAGCCAATAATAGTTATTAACCACAACATGTCTGTTCACAGAATACCTGAAGAGACGAGGAAACCTACTAGCCAAAGCAAAGTTCCCACACCATTTGTCCTCCACATGCCTTCCGCTCCTAACTTTGAAACAAATGTGTTTGGAGAACTCATCCCAACCCATCAGGATAAGTTTCCACGTACCCATTCCTGCCTTCCATTATGTGTTTTGATTCAAAACTTTGGACTTAGGGCCTGAATTTTGGGTTATTACTGAAAATTGCACAAATTGGGTGACAAAATTGAACTTATCTGAGTCTCTATCTTCATCTCTTGTACAATTTTAGGTTTGAGTTAAGTTTGAGTTTGAAATTCTATGTTTTGAATCGGAGCATGAATTTGGATTTTTACTGATCATTACATGATTTGGGTGAAGAAATTGAGATTTCTCTTTGGAGTGTGAGTCTGAGATTCGTTGGAGATCAGATTTTCTTACTTTCTTTTTTACTTTTACCTTTGTTGGATTGAATTTAACTATTGGGGAATTGAAGTTTGAGTTGATTATTGATGTTGGCCCAATTGGGTTGGGGCTTAAACTGTTGAATGGATTTTGTTTTTGTATTTTGGACAATAGAGTTGCTCGTTAAAATGGCAAATTAACCTAAAATGTAGATTGGGAAACTTTGAAAGACATGCCCTATGTTTTACGTATTCAAAATAAAAATTGGATTGGAGTTTTCTGTTTCTGTTTAACTATTTGAAAATTTGAAGGAAAGATGTGTTCTTTCTCTTGGCGTGAAGCGAGCCTCTGATAGCGAGTCTCATGTTTTGCAGTTTGGTTTAATTAAATATGATTAAAGTGGGATGGTGAAGTGACTGCTCTGATATTGGTTGATAGGGTTCCAACAATCACATGCCATAACAACCATCCACGGATCCACCATTATAAGTGTTAGATAGTTAGAGAGATTGATTTGGCTCTGATTCCAAGTTAAAGATGGTGAGATGGTGTTTCTAGGTTTAGTGAGAGCAGAAGTGGAGAAGAAGAAGAGAAGAGAAATAATATATTCGTGGAATAGAAAGCTCAACTTGAGATTCTACACCACTCCAATATTATATAGAAATAGCATGATTACAAAATAGTCCTTAAGCCCACAGTAAAGCCTACAGTACAATAAGACCCAAACTCTCTAACTATCTAACAATAACTATAGCTATGATCTATTAACTTCATATTTGTTGGTCTATGTACTAGGGTTTGCACATTTAATGTCAAAATCCAATTTGAGCTATCTCATTATAAGCTGTGAGCTCAATATTCATCATATCAGTATTTATGATCATAGTGTATGCTGCTAGTGTCTTTACATCAGTTCTGGTTTTGAAAAAAGTTTTATTTCATTTGTCAGAATAGTATGTCTGCTAGTGTCTAAACTGCATATATTTAGCTTCTCAGTGTTTAAACTTGTTCAGTAAAGCTTTTAGTAGTTATATGTGAGCTCATGTCAGCATGTATGCACTAACTGCTACTCAAGGGCATTTTTGTAAATGTGCAGGTATCTCAGGTGCTAGGCACGTGCCCTGTCAGCTCACACAATCCCAGAAGGTTTGTCAGATTAAACAATTGTCTCAGCAGCTCAGGTGCTGCAGTTTTTGAAATCTGAGGGTAAACTTGCCTTTTATAGAAGGGCAGCTGGGTGAAGGGTAGTGTGATCATTTAATGCCTACAACGGTCTGATTATCCTCTGCAGCAGCATTTGGTCTATATATTGTATTTGCTGCTGCAGAGAACTGTGTGTATTGAATTTTGAAATTCTGAGAGAAGCTTGAGGAGTGACTGCATCTTTACTGTGTTGAGAGTATTTCTAAAATTCTGGAGAGCTTATTGAAGATATGACAATGCCAAAATACATTGTTGATAGTGAGGATTGAAGCTCAGCAGAAAATACTGTGCTAAGCTGCAGATTTTAGTCACAGCTTCTTTCAAGACCATGAGGTGAAATCTTTCTTCATATCTGGTCTTTTGAGTCACTTTCTGGGCTAAGCAATTCACAAATCTCATTCTAAGCCTAGTCCGGGGCTACACCAGTAAAAGCTAAGGCTGCATCAAAATCTCACCAAGTAAACCTAGCCATTAGTGTCTATTTGCTGCTATTAAGCCTCAGATGAAGCTGTCAAGGGTTCCACATACAAATCTGAGTCCCATCTTGATGTGAGCATGTGTAAATCATCAATGCATAGCTGTTAAATCCATCATCAAGAAGCAACTGAGGCTGTCTCATGTTCTCACTACTCAAACCTCAGATTGCAGTAACAGCAGCTGCAGTAAGTGTTGCTGCTCTAACCCTTCAAGCTAGTTGTATTGTGAATCTTATCTTAATCTGCTTGAGTGCTTCATTTATCTTTCTTAGTTGATATTGTGAGTGAAAGTTTAATCACTGGGGTGCTGTGAGTGAAAGTGTGTGTATGGTGCTCAACTTTACTCATAGTGGAATTTGAGCTAGGCTTTAATGCCTCGAGGATGTTTCCCCTATTCTAGGGGTTCTACCTCATAAATCTGGTCTTGTGATTGCTCTTCATTCTTCATTGGCATTTTAATTTTTAACAAACAGTTGGTGACAACTAGGGTTTCATTTAGGACTTTCATCAAACAAACACACCTTGTGTACACATACCCTAGTTTTGTCAATTCAAGCTTACACCCAAGTTATATATTAATTTTAGAAGTCATTTTTTTTTTTTTCCTAGTTGGGACTCCCACACACTGCCTCCACTGAAGTTCGAACTCCTGACCTCCCTTTGGGAAATAGGAGCCTTGTACCGCTAGGCCACAGGCCTGTTGGTAATTTTTTAATTTATTTTAGAAGTCATTAAAAATCAGTTTAAAACAATTCACCCCTTTCTTGGTTCTTCAAAATTGTTATTTTGTTCAAATTAAATCTATTTATTTTGTAAGCATTTCTGTATATCTAGCTTACAAAGTTAGGGTTAGCAACATTAGCTCCAAATTATCTCAATATAGGATTGAGTAATTTTATTAGAGTTTTTGTAATGTTTTCTTGTGAGATTCATCATATATAGATGCCTTTATACTATGCACATATATACTATGTTTATGTAAGATTTAATTTCTTTCTTAAAATTGGTTTGGATACAGATTTAGTAAGCCATAAGAAATGCATGATTTTTTTATACAAGGGGTCGATTGATCATCTCAATGACAATTTACTATTAAAATTTGGCAACTAGAGGTAGAAAAGAGTTGAAGTTCCTAAGCATGCATGTTTTCATAGATTTTGTGTAGTTCTGAATCAAATCAGTATAAATTGTGACTAGTGTGCTTATTGCCTAATTTTTCTGTCTGCAATAGTTTTCACATGGTGACAATTCCATAGGGAATATTATCACTGTCTAAACCTCATAGATGATTTCATGTGGTTTGTGTGTGTCTAATATCTGTCTTTTGTTTCTAAATAAGTTTGCAGAAATTTTTTTAAATACAAAGAAGGTTTTGTTGTTTATTTCATTGATTGTGGTTTGTCTCCTATGTAGAATCTCTTGACTAATTGCTATTATTTACAGGGTTCGCTGTTTTCGAGCAATGCAAAAGCATCTATAGATTGATTTCAATGAGCCAATCCCAATTTGTTACTCAATCTCAGGTAAAATTTTCTTCTTGTCCTTTTTTTTTTTGAAAGGTAATTTTCTTGTGTTCTTTCATACCATAATAAAATGATTTCGGTTTTTGAAGCCCTACTACGATCACTTCTATATTTTTTAGGAGCAATACTTATAATTTGTGTTAGAACATCGTCTATTTAGGACTATATCATGTTATAAATTCCATTTGGAATTTCAGTTGTTGAGGATTGATTTTTATTGTTAATTGAAAATTTCATCACTGAATGATGTAAATTTGGCCTCAGCAGTCTTTATCTTATGATGTAATTTGTCTGTATTTCAAATCTTTGTTAGTATTTAGTCTTGCTATCTTATAAGTAAAAGAGGAAGAGTGAGGACTGGGGAATGTGACTTCTATTTTTATTTGATCAAGTGTAAAAGGGGAGGTGTTCTCGGCTGGGCTTCAAAGTTGACCCAAATCTGCATTCTGTGTTTTTTGGAAAATATAGTGTCATACTCTGATACCAATTTGACGTCGGAAAATTGTGGAGAAATACGAGGTAACACAAGTGAACAAGAAAGATAGAATTACTCACCACCCAGTGGAATCCACCAAAGGGATACAGAGTAAGGATAACAAGAAGAACTCCTCCTTAAAAGCCAAAGGCTCAAATATCATTCAAATTCATTAAAAACTCCCTTCTAATACATCAATAGCAGCTTAAATAGAAGTATGGAACAACCTCCAGCAGTCGGTAGATTTCCAAAACAAATTACTAAAAAAACCAAGCAAATAAAATGCAAAGACATGAGACTTCTTTGACTCACAACTTACTAAACTTAATTAAAGACTTAAGGACTAGAAAGTCCATCGAAAGAAGTTCTAAAAATCAGAATAATAAACTTGGAAACAAATCAAAAAGAGCTCGAACCGAGAAGAGAGTCTAAAATAGCAAGTGTCTAATTTCCAAGTGCAGAATTTTCAGTCAGCAAAAAAGCCATTTACCAAAAAAGCCATATCTCCTTCTAGGAATGTCCAAATTGTGCACTGTTTTTTTGCATTGGAAAGTAGACTTCTAGATCTTTCCAACCATAGCTGGCTCTGCAACAAATTCTTTCGGGAGTGTTCTTGGCTGGGCTTCAAAGTTGACCCAAATCTGCATTCTATGTTTTCTGAAAAATATAGTCCAAGAGTAACCTTGAGTTGGTTGGGCTTTGGCAAAGGATGCTCCGGTGTCATATTCCCCCAGTTGATGAAAACTCGTCCTCGAGTTTGGAAAAAAAAAAAATCATCATAAATCCCAAGAATAATTTTCCTTCTCTTCTTTCTTCGTTTCCGCACTAGAGTAAAAGATATTAATCTTTTTGTACCAACAAATATTACCCTTGCATAATGAAAATGAGTTGTCAATGCTCTCATTTGAAGTTCAACAGATTTGGCAAACTTGATTGAGCACTTACCATTAATGAATACTAGGAAAAGGCACGTGTGATGCACTTGTTGAATATTTTTGTAGATAATGTGATAGAAATTTATAGAAAATAAAACAGCCACTTTGTGGTAGATTTTATAAAAATTATTTTATTTTTTTTAATCATATTTTCTTTTATTAAAAAAATTCATAATAAATAGATAAATAGGTAATATGTGTTAGAATTTTATAGAAACTCTTTTAAAAACTCTTTTTATGTCAATTAATAAATATTTTTTTTATATTAATAATTCTTGTATAATTAGATTTCAATAAATAAATAAATAGGTAAACTATAAACATTTAAAAAAATATATGAAAATTAAAATTCTATAATTTACAAAACATTCATAAATAAATACTATATAAAAATTCTATATATTATAAAATCCGAAAGGGTACCAACAATGTTTAGATTGTAATAATTGTCACCTCAAAAGAAACAAAATACATTAGAAAATCCAAAACTATAACTGTTTGAAAATAAAAGTATTCCTAAATTATTTATTTCTCAATCTTTATCTTTTTTGCATATCTCATTTCTTCATGAAATGAATCATTGTCAAGTGTCAATTCTTTTAATTCTTCCACCGCAAAATAAGTTTTCACGACTTCTTATTGAGTATTGTCTATCTTCACCAGAAAAAAAGAAAAGATTTCCCTTTGCAGCTTGTCACTTTGTTGCTGAATTCATCAAAATGATCAGATTCAAACATAAGCAACATGTGTGCATGTGGTAATCCTCTTTTTTGAAATTCAATCACATAAACATGTGCAACCACTTTTCCAAATATGAGTTTTTGAAATAATTGTTTCTTAAGGTCATATAGCTTTGCTCGAAACACCCTTGTTGTTAAATCTGGTCTATCCTGAGCTAACTGTCTCGGTTTCAGCTCCTCTTTGATCTCATTCCAATCAGGATTATAGGTCATTATGATGAAGAGGTCTGGCTTTCTAAATCTTTGAACCAAACACATCGCATCATAATATCTCTTTCGCATGTCCCTAGGCCCTCCAATGAAGGATGAAGGAAGAACCACTCTTTTCTCAACATTATATCCTCTATTTTCTCCGGCCACAACACTATAACAATTCCTTGATATAGCTCGGCACGAATATGTGATTGTTCAGTTCGATAGTAATCCAAACGTTTTGTTTCAATCTTAATGTACATATCAACACTATGTTGTTGCAACAATCTCTTGGCATGTAAGAGAATTGATCGGTCTTGGTTGCGGATTTGAAGCTTGTAACAATAATATTGTCTGCATGAAATTTTTTTAGTTCTCCTTCCTTCGGCACCTACATGTTCAATTTGTATAAGAGTTAAAAAAATTGATATTTTGAATTGTATGAGAGTTTTATTTTTAAAATAAATAAAGGAAAATTGATAATTGTATTTACCTTCTCTAGATCCTGTTACAATGGAATCATCGAAGATATCGTCTTCATGTGTAATATCTGTCCCAGGGTATGGCTGACGACGATTCTTGATATTACGATGCCATCCGATCTCACCGTATGGGAATAGTAGAGGATATTGCAGTGGATCATAACATCTAAAATAGTGTCTCACTCTGTGTTTTATGCCAGAGTGTGCAACGACAATTATGTCACGCTCTAAGCGCATGTCAGGGTATGCTCCTTCTATCCAAACAGCTACAACTTGGTCAGCTGTGGGCGAATTGAAAATCCTTTGATCTAGTCGAACATCATTTTTAATAACAATTTCATGGTTGTCTGAAACGAGAATATCCTTTAACCAACGAAGGAACTGAGCATACGGATTTGACGACAATATGTTCATCAACTTTGCAACAATAGGTTCACTCAAGTTCGAGTCATTTAAAATATTCATTCTATTTCGTAACTCATTGTTAGTGTCATAGAAGTATAACTGGAGGTAACAAGGAGATCTGTCCTGTATTGAGAGTGAAGGTAATTCATGAGATATTTGACCTTGCGCTCGGAAAGTATATATACCACTCTTTATAGTTGCGAGAGTTTTGTTAAGACGGACTCCGAAAGATGTAAAAGAAAAAATGCTAGTATATGCATGTATATACCGACGAAAGTCCTTCGCGAAGGCATCAGTTTGGGATGTGAATAATTTGTACAACTCATCTGGGACAAGAGTAGATGTTAAGATCACATCGCCATTTGAGCAACAAAAAGTCGGAGGCTCGTGTTCAAATTTCTTTGCAAGACAGTGAGAACAACTTGGAACCTTCTTTAACGCTTGAGATGGTGTATGGGATAACTATCCCATGTCTCCCTTTCTTCTTTTTCTTGCATGTGTTACACCTTGAATTTTGTTGTCTTTTCTCAGTAGATAAATTTGCATAACATTTTCTATTGTGTGAACTCCTTTGTTTTTTTACATGTGTTGATTGTTCAACATCTCCTTTTTTTTCTTTTGGCTGCATCTTTGACTTCTTTAATCCTCTTCTGTCTTTCCTCGGTAGATAAATTTGTATAGTATTTACTGTTGTCTAAACTCCTTTGCTCTTCTACATGTGTTGATTGTTCGACGTTTCCTTTTTTTCTTTTGGTTGCATATGTGACTTCTTTAATCCTCTCATGTCTTTCCTCAGTAGATAAATTTGTATAGTATTTTCTATTGTCTAAACTCCTTTGCTTTTCTACATTTGTTGATTGTTTGACATCTACTTTTTTTGTTTTGGCTACATCTGTTACTTCTTTAATCCTCTTCTGTCTTTCCTCGGTAGATAAATTTGCATAATATTTTCTATTGTCTGAACTTCTTTGATTTTGTTTATGTGTGGGTGCCATTCAAGTGTGACTAACAAATTTAAACATATGTATAGATAAAGAGATATGTTAGACATGCATTTATAATAAAAAATATTAAAGATGTTTAGCATTAGAGAGACAATGAAAAAAAAATAAAAAAACAACCTTAGAATCAAAATATATATATATATATAATAAAAAATTAATGAATTACTCTACCAATAGGGGGTGGGGGGTGACATGTACCTTGCAAAAAAGGCTTCGATCTTGGGAAAACTTAAACTAATAAGAAAAAGAGAAAGACAATTGATTAGGTTTTTTTTATTTTTGTATACATTAAATGTAGCAATATATATAATAAAACAATGCATAATCAAAACATAATATTAATAACAATAAGAAGAAGAGAAAGACAATTGGTTAAGGTTTTTTTTTTTTTTTTTTTTTTGTATATATTAACTTACAAAATAGCACAAAACTTAGAATAGTTATTTTTTCTAACCAAATATCAAGAAAAAAAAAAAAAAAACACTTTTTGAATCAATTTAACTATTAGCGTATAAATTTAAACTTGCATCAATATTTCAAATTTTAATTGAGATTAACAATAAAAATAAATAAAAAACACAACCACGAAAGAGCCAAAATATAACTCAATAATGTTACATATGAACTTAAATAACATATATAAAACATTAATACCAGATTCAATAGCAACCCGATACGTATCTATATATATTAGGAAAAGACATGAGCAATGCACGTGGTGAATATATGTTTTTTTTCATATTATGGTACTTTTTTTTTAGAATAAT